ATGTCCCAGATATCAGCATTGAAGTGACAAACAGGCATCAAATACATGTCTGGGATACAGATTCACAATAAAAGAAAGTTCCCTACCTCTCTCTTTTTCTCTACTCTAGAGAAACCCTTAGATGATAGCAATTGATGGTATTTGTATTTTGTAATACATGTACCCAGCATTCTGCTACATGCTTTCTATATGGTATCACAGTTATTCACATTTGAAGGCAAATAGCAAAATGTAATAGGTTAAGAAACTAAGGCTCAAAGAAACTAAATCACTCACGAAAGATAACAGTCAATGGTAGCTTTGGATGGAAAACCCTCCATCATTTCATTCAAAAATCTTTCTATTTTACACCATATGAAATATCCTTAATTATATTTCACTTTCCATCCAAGCAGGCAAAGCCCTTACTTTTCATCTGGATGTGAAATGGTTTGTGAATGTTTTAAGGGGCCAGAGGTGAACCAGGCAGGTCGGTGACAGTGGAAGACAGCAGGGCTTTGCTGACTCACTGCTCCAGGTGTGGACATTAGAAACCCTGATACCTGTGGACCAGGAGTCAGGATGGCGGCCCCCTGGAGGCACATTCTGCGCTTACTCACTTCTTTTTTAAACCATCTTTTCTAGTTTTAGACAAGAACTGAAACAGAAATTGTCCAAACGTTCACTTCTATACAATGAAGCTGATTAACATTTTGACATCTCCTAAAAAACTGCCTTTCTAGCCAGGTGTGGTGGTGCATACCTGATATCCCAGCAGCCTGGGATGCTGAGGCAGGAGGATCAAGTGCTCAAAGCCAGTCTCAGCAAAAGCAAGGTGTTAAGCAATTCAGTGAGACCCTGTCTCTAACTAAAATGCAAAATAACCTATTACATTTTGCTATTTGGGATGTGGCTCAGTGGCTGAGAGCCCCTGCGTTCAATCACTGGTACCCCTTTCCCCTGGCAAAAACAAAAAACAAAAAAACAAAAAAACAAAAAACAGCCTTTCTGTTGGCATATTAATAACATATGCAGGAATTTTTCCACCTTGGTGAAACCTGAGAACACTGCTCTATACACACAGTAGTAAGCTGATTCTGAAATCAACCATAACCATTTATACATTGAATCATTCAAAACTAAATAAAAAGTAGGAAGGTCTTCCTGCTTGCTTCCAACTAAGCTTTCAAAATGGTGGTGCTGGAAGGTCTGCTTTCTGCCCTGGACTGACAAGGTGACCTTTAGACCCACTCAGTTCAAGTTTTGACTACATTTCTGCTCCAGAAGCAATTCTGGGAGGTTCAGCCCTGGAGTAACCTGCAGGTAGGCACTAACTGCAGGCCAAGCCACAGCTGGGATTCTTCTGCACTTCACCCCAGTCCTGAGGTTATCCTACACTGACTGAGTACAAGCTTCTCAAGGACAGGTTAAAACAGTCATTGGACAGACTCAGGGGGCACAGTGGCTCCTTACTTCTATAGCTTCCAGGCACTGGTGTCAGAGCCTTGAGAAGATTACCAGTGTGGCCCTGTCACCAGTCATGTCTTGTTCTTTGTGCCAGAAATGATCTTGTTTACCTGATTCATCTAGGAAAAGCTTACTTGAGCTTCCCCTCATCTTACCCTTACTGAATCCACTGGCATTCCAAGGTAGGAATTTGAATTAACTGCCTTCTAAAGAGGGAGGCAGTTAATTCAAATTCCTACCTTGTGGGACTCACAGGCAACAGGTGGGCAGGAGGCTCCTGTTTAAAACCCTGTGAGGGAACTATTTGGCACCGCCTGATACTCAGGTCCAGTTGGCTGAGTGGAATTTGCTTTATAATCTAGCAGAAACACCTCCATTGCCAAGAGATTTAATTAGCTTTGTGTGTTTTTAATAACAAGTAATATGGTATTGGAATGTTAATTGTAGCCTTGTTTATAGTGGCAAAAAAAAAACCAACCCAAATGTTCATGAAAGGGAACAATTAAATAATTCTATAATACTTACTACCATGGGATAAAAAGAAATGAGATGGAAAGTAGCCTTCTGTATTCTGACTTGGAAAGATGTTTAAAATATGTTTTTAACTTAAAAAGGGAAATAGAATATCTATCACATAAAAACAGCAAATCACACAAAAACAGCCTTCCAAATTAATTTTATGTACTTTCTCTTGGCATAGTTATTCACTGGCAAATGCTAAAAAAAAGTGTTTGGAAGCATGAATACCAAATAAATAGTTGTGGGAATGGGGCTAGGATTGGGTAATGATCCAAGCAGATTTTTAACACCTAAAACATATCTATCTATACAATTCTTTTGTAATTAAATGTTTTTAATAGAAAGGTAGCAGCATTGTAGTGACTACAATATTACATGCTGAATCTGTGCTTATGAAATATTGCTGAATCAACATACAGCCAAGGGACATCTGAGGCGATATGCTGCACTGACATTAGGAAAGACAGAGAGTTATTTTTTAGTTTCACCTACCTTTTTCCACTTCACAACTCTAGAGCTGGCTACAAACACTGCACATGGGAATTTGATGTTGTGAGGTCTTTTAAGATGACTCAGGCCCTTGTACCAACTGAAGGTCTCCCAGTTCCCCATGCAAAATGAGTGACTCACTCAATACACTGATCAGTGAGTTTACTACTGACACCTCTCCCTCCGACTGTCCCCTACAAGACCCTAATCCAGTGGTTACTCTTCCACCTATGAGCACCATTCTTAGAAGTGCAGGTCATACCTATTGATGCCTAGAACTTACCACATGTTCTTTTTAACATAAGCTCTTAGGCTGATGCTGATGCTTTTGTGCAAAATGTTTGAATGGAATGTACAAACTCAGTGGATAGCAACCTAATAAAAATCACCTGGGGTCAGAAGCTATCATTAATGCTCACTGATATGAACATCACCCTGAGGGTGCAGGTTGTACTGTACGAGACTGTGCTCTGATTTTGACTATTGAACATAAACAATTGCATTGATACACATTTATGTAACCCGAACACTTATCACCAAATCAACTGAAACTGTAATTTTTCAAGGGCACAGGCAATAAATGCTTCTGAATAGGAAATTGTAACTTAATAATTTGATGTTTCATTTTATATAAGTCAGTATATTCAGGACTTATACAATCTCAATAAACTGAAAAGTAAGAGGTCACTCCATCTTATTCCTGTGATTGCATCAGATCTGGAACAACTGTGACCTACTGTGCTTCAGATTCCTCTCATTTACACCAAAGAGAGAATAATACAATGATTCGGATTGATTTGAGTTGGTGGTGGAAATAAGCAATTCTTAAATTACCTTTAGAGATTCCCAGTGCCCTTTACAATGTCCAAACATGCTGGTACATGCAAATAATCAAATATTTTTGTCTTTGCCTTCCTTCTCCATTAAGTTTAATTAAATAATCAGCCCTTTTTATTATTGTTCTCCAAGGTACTAGATGCTATAGACCTCCCTGACCTATTACATTTTCCTCATATTTTGTGCTTTTATTTAAATGAATCATAGTTTATTCCTTCATCCAAAGGTATTCCTTCATCCAAAGGAATCCCTAACATCAGACATAGGAATAGTCAAAGTCCATTTCTGCATCTTTTACTCCTTTAGAATAATGATTTATAAAATTTGGTTTATATTATTAAAATTATTTAATATTTTAAAATTTAAAATTATTTAAAAAAATTTAAGAAAGAAGTACATAAATGAAAGTTTCACTTCCTGCAGTGGATTCTGTATCCTGCAGCTGGCATTAGAAATGAGAAGAAACTTGGACAAACAGACCTAGATTATTGTTAAGATCTTAATTTCCCTTCTTTCTCTTTTCTTTCCCTCCCACCTCCTTCCCTTCCCTTTTCTTCCTATCATTTTAACCTTTTTATATGAGAATTTGGAAATAGGCACAAAAGAGAGAAAATAGTACAATGATCAATACTGTACTCATTACTCATCTTCAAAAGTTTTCAATATGTATACTTCTTATCCAAGCACAAAACACAGGCATTATACATCTTTAAAAGAAAAGACTTATTTTCCTTATCCTAACCAAAATGCCTTTATCACAGCTAAATATAGAACTCCTTTAAATCACTGGTGATAGTTAATTCAATATCAATCTGACTGGGCTACAGGTGCTCAGATATTTAGTTCAACGTTGTTTTGGGTGTTTCCGTGAGGATGTCTTTATATGAGATTAACATTTATATAGGCAGAAAAGTAGACTGCCCTCCTGATGTGAGTAGACCTAAATTAATCATGTGAAGGTCTGAATAGAACAGAAAGTCTGACAGTTTGATAGTCTCCCCCACGCCCACCCCAGGTAAGAGAGAATTCCTATTACTGATGTCCCAGAATGTGGGACATTGGCTATTTCCTAGTCTATGGATTCCAGCCTAAATGTTGCTTCTTTCTGGGTCTCAAGCTTCTTGGCTTTTGGACAGGAACTCTACCACTGGCTTTCCGAGTCAGACTGGAACTAAGCCATCAGCTTTTCTGGGTCTCCAGATTGCTGATTCATCCTGCAGATCCTGAAACTGTCCTGTTTCCAATTCACATGAGGCAATTCCTTACTATAGACAGAAAGCGAAGCACACTCCTGTTAAAACTTGTAAGTTGAAAAGTTAATGAGCTCCCATTTTGACTCAGGCTTCCACATCTACAAAACAAAAAGCACATAAAAAATCATCTATTTGGCCTTCCTCATGCAGATTGAGTGAGTGTAAGAGGTAACCTCACATGAGTAAAGAACTGATAAAGTATCAAAGAGTAAAGAAATGTCTATGTCAATAGCATCATCATCTTCTTCCTCCAAGGAAACCTTCCTCCTTTGTGTATTTGAAACCAGAGTTTTAGTCCCAGATACAAAGTGCACTATCAATGCCAAGCTGTGCTGTCTTATTAAAATGAAGCACATGAATTACATAGTCTTGGATCAGAAGTAATTCTGTCAGTTGAACACATGCTCAAAAGCCTAAAAGATTGATCCTCTCGAGGTCACTGCCTCCGAAACTCACCCAGTACTATTGAGGTAGCTCTGTCCAATGCTGCAGTCCTTTGAGAGAGAGGATGGATTGAACCAAAATGCTGGCAGGCACTGCCCATTGCTGTGTCGCTCATAGCCATAGTCACTGTGGGGGAAAGAGCCAAGATAAACCTTTCAGTAGGTGGAAAATGACTCGGAACAATTCCATGTTAGTCCACAGCCACCTTCTACTCGAGTCAGTCAAAAGGATGTATTCCCTAAATCAATAACTTAAAAATGGAACTTGCCTCTTATAGACTATCTATCAACAATCCATGAAAACCTCCTGCAGAATCGATAATTCCATTTAAGCACCTTTAAGTTAAAATAGAGGATTATGTTCTCATTAGAAAGAAACACTGAATGTAATTAGAAACCAGGCAGTGGTGGAAGCTGGAGCCCTAGACATGACTCCTCCATGGAGTTTAATACAGCCACATGTGGCACAGGCCTCATTACCGGTGATGTCTTTGGGATGTTCTTCCAAGACATCTGGATTTACCGACTAGAGCAGAGCCAGGTTTCCCTGTGCACAAACCATATGTTTTAAAGTCACGGCCAAAAAAAATGTCCTTCAGAAGTGTCTAGAGCATCCCCTTAGGAAAAGTTTTGTCCCAGGTAGTAATTGCTGCCAGTTGGGACTAACAGCTCTATAGCTTCCCTCTGGTTTGGAAACTGTCTGTCTTCTCTCCCAGTCCTCTCTGCTTGTTTCCAGGGGCCTCTGAGTGGCCTGATATTCTTGGCTTCTGGGAGATGAAACCAGGCACAGAGGATGACAACAAATTGCACCTCTGCATGCACAGACAAATTGTAGGTAGCAATCAGCAAGCATTAGTAGGAATTGGCCCATCTGTGTAATGGAGGTGAGATGCTGGCACATGAGGGGTGGGAAGGAAGACATCAGCTGAGCTCAGGGGCCTGTCTCCAGGCAGCTGGTACTTAGAATTCTGCACAAACCAGCTAGATTTGGTTCTGGTTCAACACAGCATGGGTAGTAAGACTTCAGAATCACTGCCTCCAGGACACCCAGTGCTCACTTCAGGGAATTACATTAAAAATGCTGGCACATGCCTGGCAAGGTCACCTGGGGCAATGTCCAGGGAACCAAGCTAAAAGGGAACATTCAGTAACAACACTTTTATTACACTGCAGTCAGGTGGAATCACTGAAACCCCAGCCACCAGTAAAAGCCCAACAGCGTCATGGTGAGCCTTCCAAAATATTTTCACAAATCATGCAGTTCCCCCAAATCCCATCTAACCAGAAAAACCTTACAATGGCCTTGTTTATGATTAATTTTCCTCTTGTCTGAATGCAGTTCAGCTGGTGAGATGAGTGACACATCCTCATCACAAATGAATGCAAGGATGGGGCCAAGGGATAGGGAAGGAGAGAAGCCTGGTTGCTTTCCTTATCCTGGGTTTCCTCCACTCTGGAGTAGCTTTCAATTGAACATGAAGAACAGGAACAAAATGCTGGTTTATTTTTGAACCTTGCAGAAAATAAACCTAAAGAAGTGTCTCCAGGAGAAACCAGGGAATTGGGGTCTCTCTTCTTACTTATCTTCTTAAATTTCTACCAGAGAATAAATTTGCTTTCTGAAAACAAATGACTGTTACATAAGGCCAAAGCTAAGCTGGTAGTGTAACATGCTAACTTCCTCTGCAAATCCTCCTTGAATAAAGTGCATGATGGGAAAGAGGGTTGTGATGACTGACTGAAAAACTCATAGTAAGTTTTCTTATAAAGATATTTCAGGATGTCAATGCCAAAGTGCAGGACAGGTATAAAATATTTTTGTCACTTAATTAGTGTTATGTTGCACTGACTACAACAGAAGACACTGTTGGGGAGGCTCCTGGGGAAGTCCTTGTGAGCTAAAGTCATTGCAGCTCTATTGCCTTGGCTGACCCCAAAGAGACACAGCACTGGTTCTTTTTTTAATTATTTAGTTTTTGGTTCTAGAGATTGAACTCAGGAAGCCTAACCACTGAGCCACATCCTCAGCCCCTTTATATATATATATATATATAATTAGAGACAGGGTCTCACTGAGTTGCTTAGGGCTTCACTAAGTTTCTAAGGCTGGCTTTGAACTCACAATCCCCCTGCCTCAGCCTCCCGAGTCACTGGGATCACAGGTGTGTACCACTGTGCCCAGCTGACTTGCCTTATCCATCAATAAAGGGGATAGCTATGGGTGGTTGTCAGACCACCGGAGCACAGGCCTTCCCAGTACTACTCATTCAGAGTACATCTCCAGTGTCCTACTGTTAGAAAAGGCAAAATTCTTCTAAAATATGATTATACACACACACACACACACACACACACACACACAATGTCTCAGTTTGATCACTGATATTTTGATGATCAGGTATTTGACTTGTGATGATTACACAGTTAGAAATAAATTTTTAAAGACCTGGATAAGAGCTTTATCCAGGTCACATTTCAATTGTTCAACATCTACATACCTATTTAGTGATTGTTTTCTCTAAAGTAAAAAATACACACACACACACACACAAATGCATAACTATATACAACAGAAATACAGAAGAAGATGAAAATAAATAACATTAAATGTGATAGAGATAATTACAAATGGAATAATTATTTACCATTAATAATTTGTCAACCTTACCTGACCACTAAACACTAAGAATAAAGTGAAGGTACTCATGTTTGGTCCCATAAGCAAAGTTTCTGCTTAGCAAATGTTCCAGCAAGAATTCTACAGCACTCTGAGTTTTGTTTAAACCTCTCAAAGTCTCAGTACTTCTCCAGTTTTAACTAGCTTCTTTACCAGTTCAAAGATTCATAATGCCATCAAATCCATCCTGACAATGAGTTCACAAATGTCTTCCACATCTCTATTAGCTGTATTCAGCTGACCACTGATTGAAAATTTTCAGAGACAGAGAATTTACTGCCTTATAAGACCACCATTTCCTACTGAAAACCGTGGATTCCAGAAAGAATTTATCTAGACTTTATCTTCGTACCCTGAAAAGTCCAATTATTGTTTTCAAAGTTGCTGTCCAAAGTAACATAGGATAGATCTAGCTTCTCTTTTTGACCAAAGTATCTATCAACTCTATGAAGATTATTACCAACTATCTTCTTAATCCTCTTTAAATCTAAAGAAATGCCTGGTTTTGTCATCATGTAGGCACATAGCTAGTAACCATGATGTCCCCAAGAGATAATCTTATAAGAATCCGAGGTTTGCCATGAGCCCTACATATGTCACTATTATTTCCAATCTAAACTCTCTTCAAGGGTCATGTGTATTTGAAATATAGAATGACTCCATGGAATAATGGTGCCAGCTCACCAGTCAAAATCAGCTTCTGTGCAAACACAGGGTTCAGATTCCATAGCTCCTGCATATTTTCCTTGCATACACTTGCGCTCGGATTTTCGCTTCTTGTATATCCTCTTGGCTCCCATGATGCATGCTTCCCCCTGTGAGCAGACAACCATCACACACAGCTGGGCACATAGTTTGTATGTTTCCTGTTCCACATTAGGGAAGGTTAGGGAGATATTCACAAACCTTAGCGTAACACGGATTCTGGTGTGGTACTTTTGTGCTAACCACATTTTGTTTTTGATGTCTATCATAATATGTGACTATAAAGATAATCCTAAGAAGTACTGAGAATTTGTCCAATAAATCCCTAACTCTTCATGCGTTTAACAAACTGGTACTGGGGGAGGGTTACATCTTAGTGCTACAGAGGACACACAGATAATTAAGATAGATTATAACTAGTTGGCAAACCAGTAGAAATTAAGTTCAATTCTCCTCTAACAAAAGATTTATACAGTTGGTCATTTATGAGCATACAAAATACGAGTGTTGCTAAGAAATGTAAAGAACCATTTTGTTCCGATTTATTATGTTTCTGCCCACACATCTTTATAGCACTGATTTTATGTTCATCTACCAGACAAACAAGAGAGCTAAATTCAGTGTTTTCCATGAAATAAATAAAAGCTTTGAATATCACAATGCTTATGCATCCCAAAGGGGAAAATAGCAGCAATGGAAGTGAGCGATAATTTTATTGTTGAGCCTCTGAATAGGGAGGGTGTTTCTAGCTAATGCAGCGCCCACTGTCAAACATAGCTTCTTTTGTGCTTCTGAACAACGAGAGCAGAATTGTGTTTAATTGGTTCTAGGCTGTCTTTCCTGAGGCTCCATTACACATCTTCATGCAAATGCATTCCTTAGTCCAGGTTTGGAGCCTACCATGTTTCACTGCCTGAACAAAGTGATGGCTTTGCAATAAGAGCTTCCACTAGATCCTCAGAGAGGCCTGTAGAAATGGCTCCCGCCATAGAAAATTAAAGGGACATTTTCATCCAAGCCTTTTGATGTGAGCTGAATAACTAAGTAAGAGGCCAGGATGTAGGAAAGTTTCCTATTCATAATTCTGTATTCTTATACTTTGAGTACCTTAGAAGGAGGCAAGAAGTACTATGTATTCCCAGGGAATCCAGGAAATGGACAGGAAGGGTTTTTCTGGAACTGCTTAGGGAGCATTACTTTGTTATTTTATGCATTGCCTCTGTCTGAAACGGTAGATAAAATGGAAGATCTTTTCCTCACCCTGCCCCCACTGTGTGACATGCTCAGATAAATTATGTTTGAATCTCAGTGCTGAGTTGGTATTTCATTTTGAGTTGTAAGTCTAAGCCAAGCACATTTGAATTTTATCTCATTATATTCTAGCATAATACAACAGAAATAACTTCACAACAAGATATAAATGTTGAGTTTGTTCAATGCTGTGTCATGCAAAATATGTAAGAAAGAACGAAAGGAAGAAATGGGCATTTGGGCCTAGAGATCTCCAGTTTCTAAGCCTGAAGGATGAGCTTTCCTTGAGCACCTCTCATGCCCCCTGCCCAGGGCTCAGTCTCAGCTGTCTTCCCCTTACCTGGCTGTGTAGCTGCCAAGGCCTGTAGTCCTCCTCGGCACACCATCTGTCGAAAATGGACTTGTAGTCCACTTTAACCAGCTGCCATTCAGAGCGGTGGCTGAAGTGTCCAAACACTCTACAGGGTTCATGATGATAAAAGTAAACAGGATAATCACAATGGCAACAGTATTAACAAGAGCTTGCATTTGTTGTGTTAACTCTGAACCTGGTGTTCACAGGGGTGTCATGTGTTATGCCAGGCACATTACATGGGTCAAAGCTTTTAATTGTCCAAATACATTTATGAAGAGGATACCATTGTGGGCTCCTCATTGAAGATGGATAACTTGAGGCTCAAAGATGTTTGTCCGAACCAAATTCAAGCCACTAATCATGGGTACGGATGGATCTCAAGGTATTTAACTTAAGAGTCCACTTGTATATGTTGTACCACAACAATAATGGACCAAAATGACAGAGAAAACAGTCACAAGAAGTGCATTCTAGGTGATCCAAGATTATACTTGAAAATTTTAGAGCTAATATACCCCCTTTTTTTTGTTTTGTTTGTTTGTTTCCATGCTATTTGGTGTTTCCACTAGTCCCTAGGAAAGTAGGCACCACAGCCAAATGGTAATGGCGTGCTCCTACATTGAACATTCTACTCTCCCTACTCAGAGACTCAGATGTTTAATGCAGTGATTGAATCAACAATCATATGTGTAGATAAAAGCCACAAAGTGGATTTTTAGATCAGCTTTTTAAAATTTATGTTCTGCAAATATAAAAACTGAATAAAAGCAAATTATGGAATAAATTGCTAATCTAGCTATGTTTCCCATGAGCAAAAGCATAGCTATTAGGCATATTAAATTTTTCTTGATGTTTTCTATCATTGAAAAAAAGTGCAGTATGGGGTTAGAAAACAAGCCAATAATTTACTTCGATTTTGAAATTTTCAATGATGATAGGATCAACTACTTTGAAACCTTCCTTTTCTGTTTTTCCATGGCCAATTTTCTAGGGGAAGGAAATATCACAGTTTCGTATTCCAAGTTCAAAGCCCATATTTTGAAACCCATAGGCAGCCGAGTCATTAATCAAGTCTTTCACAAATTAATGATCATCACTTTTCAGACAAGAATGAGTGTAAATGCAATTTCACAAGAACAGATTGTTCTCATGGTTTTCCTAATATGCCTCACAATTGGGTTAGGTAAAGAGCCAGAGAAAAATAAAATCCCTCGTGGGGTTTTGATCAAATGCTGTGTTCTGACTAAAATAGAAATTATACTTAGACGCCTGAGACTTTCTGCATATACACTCTGCTTATATTAAAATTTTAAATGCATAGTTTTATTTGCTCTTAAAATAATTCCTTCTAATTTCCCTAACTCATTGAATATAGAAAGAAAAGAGCTTTTCTCTTCTGCTACCACCTCCAGTCTGAGTCTCCTCAAACCTATCAGAGGCAAGAAAATGAATGCCCACATTTTTTTTTTTTTTTTGCCTTTTTGCTAGGGACTCCTGTAGCAGGGGGCACTGACTGTGATAACAACCGCAAACCTAACAGCAGCAAATCAAAGCAGACTCAGCTATAAAACATCTTTCTGGATTTACTCTCCTGTATTAAGGCTGAACCATACCATAGCTTTCCACTTACGTCATGATTAGTGTTTCTTCTCCCGGTTCACCCAGAACCCCATCCACAAAAAGTGGAATAGAAGTGAAACTGTATTTGCTCCAAGATCTCCCTTCATCAAAACTCAACCTAGTGATAGAGGAAAACAACAGTGAAGGATCTCAAGAGAAAATATAAAAAGTCCTTTCTAAGAAAATATACTCTCAACCAAGAAAGGATGCATTTTTAAAGGCAGCTCAGGCATTGTCAAAATGAGCCCTCCTTTCATCTGATTAGGTCTTCTTCATTACATTAATGGGCAAAAATACAAGTAGCCAAACCAGTGGGACTCATGCATTAAGATCCCAATAAGGGAGAATTGTGCAAAATGAGAATAATAAGAGTCTCTGGTTGATTTTTTTTAACTTAGATATTTTATTAGTCTTTAGACCTCAGTGTGACCCTCTCCAAATCCTCACTGGTATCTAGCAGCATGTGATCCTGAAGATAGATTTCAACAGACCTTTCTCTAAATGGCAAATTCCAAAATGTGGCAGGTGTTACATTGTTATAAATCATAGCTCCCCTCATTGAATTAATGGATGAGAACAGAAGGATGGGCCCTTGAGAATGAGAGTGGAGAAGTGTGCCACCCTGAGGGTTACCATCATGGTCTGAATGTGTGTGCCCTCACATATGTTGGTAGTATTAGGAGGTGGGTGCTTTGGGAGATGATCAGATCATAAGGGCAGAGCTCTCATGAACAGGGTTAAAGACTTATAAGAGCCTTGATAATTGTTTTCCTCATTTCACCAGGTGATAGTACAGCAAGAAGGCACCATTTGGGAACCAGAAAGCAGAGTCCTCACCAGGCACTGAATCTGTCAGTGCCTCCTTGATCTTGGACTTTCAGACTCCAGAACTGAGAGCTATTAATTTCTGTTCTTTATGAGTGAACCAGTTTCTGGCATTTTGTTACAGGAGATTTTCTTTTGTTGTCCTTCTCTGTGGATTTCTGTTCCCCAAGCTAAGCCTTGTTTTTTCTTCTGCAGCCTTCTCTTAAGTCATCAAAGTGACAACTTAGAGGGAAAACCAGGCTTTTGATTTCAAACAAGCTCACATATGAGACAGTCGCTTTCAAACACAGAGGAAGAAGCCGACTGGACACCCCTCTGGAAGGTAGACCTTGCACATCCACCAGAGGACGACATACAGGCAAAGTGGCAGAATGTCACCTCAAAAAAGTAAGCTTGGGAAGCTTCACGGGAGAAGCAGGAGTATGACCATCATAAACGGCTAATCTCTGTGCCGAATGTACATAACACATTCTGTATTTGAGGAGATGTTATTTAGGACATAACACCAAGTAGTTTAACTACTCAGAGACTGAGTAGTAGTGAACATCCTTCTACCTGTGATTGCAATGAGAGAAAAAGGTACTGGTGATGGTTGTGACTATCACATTTGAAAACCATAATGCAATTCTTCTTTTCAGAACAAAAATCACCACCCCCACTTTTATATTTCTACCTTCCCCCTGCCAAAAACTGCAGGCAACAATCTTCTTTTAGTGGAGCAAAGGTGTAGATTAAATTCAAGCTCATCTTGACACTTTACTAAGCACAGTCACAGTGTGATAGCCTCATTCCCAGGCCAGTCCTGTAGTGCAGAACCAGCAGGTGCATGTCCCCCAGGCAACAGGTGCCCTTACCAAAGATGTCGAATTGGAAGAGAAGTGTGTTTCATGGCCACCAGGACTCCACCTTGATCTAGGTACAAAACACTGTGCTCTTCTTCAAAGATCTAGATGAGGAAAATGAACACACATGGACACACGTCCACACACACTCACAGTACAGAGAATCAGTTTTCATATGAGAACAAAAATAGATCTCCCTAAATTTAGCGGGGAATAGAGCTAAACAATGTTTACCAACATAGGCTACATGTACCATTGGCGTTATGTAAAATGATATTCAGGTATGAAGAAAATGAATTTTAAAACATCTAGTACGTGTTTGTGTTAATATTCTCTTATCATTAGGGTAATATCCGTTTATTTTCATTTTTCATGATGTCAGAATATCAGGAAACTGCATATGTATCTCTAGATGGATGGAATCTTAAAGACTGGTTTCTTCAATAGTTTCATTTTTACAGATTAAAAGATTAAGGTTTAGACAGATGTGGTGACTTGCCAAAGACCATGCAAACAGTCCCTGATGGGACCTGGGACTTGTTGTATTATGGTACCCTGTTCTATCTAATTATTCCAACTTTCTAAGTGTTACCAAAGAAAGGTACTCTTGTTTAATTCACAAAAGTTCCACCAAGGTGCAAGTAGTTCTGATCAAAATGAAATTGTCACCATGGGTACATGTGCTAGTGAGCCTTTCTCAAAATATGAAGCAAATAATTTGAAGTCAAATGGAAACATGAGGCAACATCTCTAAATCCTCTCTACCAGATGTGTGCTATACTTGTAGTCAGATTACTACAAGAGTCTTGTCGGATGATATACACAAACAGGTTCTTTTGTTCCCCTTGTTTCTTTCTTATACCCAAGACACACACCAGGACCATAGAAGTAGAGATTTCCATGGCTTGTTTAGGGTGTTGGGAGGAAGAAAATAGAATACTGCATCTCTCTTTTCCAGAGGAAGCTTCTTCCTTAAAAAGTCTATGTTTCTGTGTAGCTCTAAGATTTGTTCTCTGAGGTTGCTTATGCAATTTTTTTCCCTGCCATTCTTTTCTTAAAATTTGAGAATCCTACAAATTTTCTTCAAATGTTTGAAGGTAATAAGTGGCAACTGGACCATCATGTAGATTTTTTTCCCCTAAAATTCAAAGTAGAGTGCTCTCATTGCCAAGTGTGATTACCTGTGCATTAGATTTTAATTTACAGTGCTAGTTATTGTATGATAATTAAACGTCAGTGGGTTATTAAAACATATTTATTGAAGTGTAACAACCATGCATTAGGCTCATATCTTGTTATGATTGCTAAACCTCATTAACTGCCTGGTTTATAAGCCATGGATATCTAATTTTCATTCAGAAGAAAGGCAGGAAGCATTTAAGCTAAACACATTGGTTTAAAGTGATTCCATTTCTACTTTATCTAACATATGCATCCTGATGGTTATTACTCTGTCTTTTGCACATGAGATTTAAGCATCTCAAAACACCACCTGGGTAATAGCCATTTCTATATCATTGCATTCTTCTCTGTTCTGGCTTCAAGGCAAAGGGACTTTATGGTGGCAACTTGGAATTAGATATACAATCAACCCTTCAAGTTCCAAGTTCCTATTTGATAAATCCACAGGGATTCTGTTTTTCCTTTTTTGGGAAAAATTCCATTAGATCTAATTTTAAAAAAATGTTCACTTATAAATGTTTTTACATCCAGGGCCTAATTAAGAATTATCTTTATTAAATAACAAAAGAAATGAAATTACACAAGAATTTGCTAAACTCAAAAGATTTGAGACTTTTTTTAAATTTATTTTTTAGTTGTAGTTGGACAAAACACCTTTATTTCACTTATTTATTTTTATGTGGTACTGAGGATCAAACCCAGGGTCTCACACATGCAAGGTGAGCGCTCTACCGCTGAATCATAACCCCAGCCTGAGACTTTTATTTTTTAAAAACCCACGTAGTATGTTTTAGGATTCATGTGTAGAATGTACCACTGCTAAATAAGCTCCTAGACTTGAACCAAACTGAACAATTTTTATGCTATTTAAACTTCTGCAATACAACCCAGGGCCTTTTCTTACCTGCCTCCAAGTGTTCCCTGCATCTGAAGAGACAAACATACTGATGTCGCTGTCTGACAGTTCAGAACCTATATTACCTAGAAAGAGCACATCACCATTAGTGAAAAGAACTTTCCACAAAATCTAACAATGGCCTAGATCAGCAGTCTGCATGGCCTGAGAAGGATTTTGACTGCAAGCATTTTGTCCAAGCAGGGGTTTTCAACATACTTGCTTCAGGGTTAATGGTTTAGGTGCCTTTGAAAATATTTCTAGCCTGCTCATTAAATTCCAACCACGGATATCTAGCTTCTTAAAATCAGCACCATCTACAACAGCAAGCAAAGGAGACAAGCTTCTTACCTGAAGCAACTATGATGCTTGGAGCTGTGTCTCTGCTGGCAATGATTCCTGATGTATAGGGATTCTCAGAGACTTTCAGGTGAAGGTGTAGTGAGCAATAGGGCTACACAAGGAAGAAATGAGAGTCATAACAGCACAAAAGCTAATGGTCACCTAAAGCCCCAATTCAGAGCATTCATGCATCCATCTATCTGTCCATCCCATCAGCCCATCTATCTTTCCCCATACCTGTGTCCTCTTACCACCCATTCGTCCACCCAACTACCACCTTGCATTCCACAAATATCTAGTGTCTTCTAAGTGTAAGACAATTGCCAAGTTTGCAAGAATAGAAAGCTCCTTCACTGTAGGTGTAATTTGCTGATATAAGTGCCAATTTGGTAATTTGATGAGTATTTAAGTATCATATACATAAAACTCTAGAGGAAGTTTATTACAGGGTTGCAAAGCCTCAAATTTGGTCATTTGAGAGTTTACAATTCAAGTAGAAAACATGAGATCTTTCTATTTATTACTATAAAGAGAGAGTATTTTAACAGCCATAAGATAAATACAAACAACACATTATATGAGATTCTAGAAAGTGAGGAGGCACAGTCCAACTTTGGATTGGGCAGGGGGAGTTCCTAGGAGAAAATGGTGGATGAGTAGGCTTTGAACTGTGGGCAAGATGTTCAGACATGGGGAACATCAATAACAAAGCAGAAGAGTTGCAGGGTATAGCCAGGTACGATTAAGAGGAGAAATGGAATCTGAAGTCAGAAAAGGTTGAGTCAGGCCAGGAAAACTTTGAAAAATTCAGCTGGCATCTTTTAGTCATTCTTCAGTTGAGATCCCAATCTTAGTTGGGAAAAGACTGTGTGACATGTACCCCTGTCCTAACATTCTCCAAGCAACAGACACAATGTCTCTATTAAAATTCCAAAGTTGGCCTGCACCTCCTTACCTTCTAGAATCCGTTTTATTCAATACAGTAGTCATACTTGTAGACAAAATGCACTAGTAACAAAAATTTAAATGAAAATATGAGGGGTTTGTTTATCTATGTCTGAAAACCTTGATCAAGTTCCCTGATTAAGATATCAACAGCTTTCCAAAAAAGAAGAAAAAAGAGGATAATAAATCTTCTACGAATTTTGTTTAAAATAGTCCTTGTACTGAGTTGTCAAAAAATACAAGTTTGTGTTTGAACCCATATATTTTTTTTCATCTCCCAGGAAGATTACTTTCTAATCTTATCGACTTGAGTCTTTGGAATCACCAATGTATCTCTGTTATTACTTTTATTCTGCTCTGTAAGTCTCAGTCAACAGATATTCAGAGGACTACAGAGATACAATGATTAAATTTATATAGGATGGAGTAAATGATGAGCTAAAAATGAAACTCAGGAATAAAAGTAACCAAAATACTGGCAAAATAAAACTGCAGATAGTATGAGAGTGTTTTCCTCACTGTCAACACAGAAAGTAAAACTCCCAAGAAACAATTGATTGGTTTTGTACGAAAATTACATGTAAAACTTTCAAACAACATTTTACTTTATAATGCTCTGTAAAAGTAAGAAAGAAACACCAGAGTCATGTATCTGGCATCCTTTTGTCCAAGAGGAAGACTAGAATAGGTAGTGCTAAATGCTGTAGATGTCCCTGGTCAGTATTGCCCAATGCTCAGCCAACATTAAGACAGGATAGAGTGGGTCCATTCATCATATTCTCCGTGAACATTTTCCTGACAACTGCAGCTTATCAGAAAGAGCCTCCCCTTCTCTGATAAACTACAATTTATTTTATGATGCACAATCCTGAGTAACCTATTTCAGGTATGGTACAGTTTTATCTCCTAAAGAGACACTCTACAAATGAAGAGAGCACGTCAACTGCTTCTTTGCATCTTCTGTGGAATTGTGCATAGAATCCAATAAAAAAGATGAATCAATAAAAGGATTAATATCAAGTACTGCATTTTTAGGGCTGGGGATGTGGCTCAAGTGGTAGCGCGCTCGCCTGGCATGCGTGCAGCCCGGGTTCGATCCCCAGCACCACATACCAACAAAGATGTTATGTCTGCCGAGAACTAAAAAATAAATATTAAAAAAATTCTCTCTCTCTCCTCTCTCTCTCTCCTCTCTCACTCTCTCTCTAAAAAAAAAAAAAGTACTGCATTTTTTTAAATTGGGGCACGAAAGACATTGATTAACTATTCTACTCAGAACAATGCCAGAGGTACATGGAATTGATCACAAATCATACAATCTGAGTAATGTGACCATTTCCATGGCATCCCAAGAAGCATACTGGAGTTGGGCATCATAAATAGACATCTAGGCTTAATGCAAAGCCTCCTGCACCTTCTAAAAGTGTAGAAAATTCCTGCACTGGGGAATACCCAGCTTGCAATCTTGAGCCAGCTGCTGCCACAGCTGGAAGACTGTGAAGCTCAGTTGCCACTTGAGCCAAGGATTATTTGGTGTGGGAAACTTGCCATTACAAAGGAAACAGGACGTTTTCAATTGGATGCTCTGTTGCTATGGTGTTCAGCGGACCAAGACATATTGATTGGAGAGGAAAAGACACCAGTTTGCACAGTAGCAGCAACATTAGAAATGATCTTTTTGGTGCATATTTTCTCCACTCTCACATTTGTAGTACTGGATTGCCCCCAGCTGGTACATGGAGAATATTCTGTGGTTTTCTTTTTCCCCCTTTCTTTCATATTATTTTTCAAAGCATTTACATAGTCTACCCAAATATGTGAAGAAAAACAATGTTAAGTGATTCATTGTCACTTTTTAACTTAAACTTCTGTACCTGCTTTGGACATCTGTCAAAAAGTTAAAAGTCACCAAAGTTAAAACTAATTGAGAGATTTTATTATAATGACGAACAAGTGACTCCAAGTTCCTGCAGGACACAAGACCAGGCTCTGGGATTCACATGAACAGTTTACCATGCAGAGACACTTTCCCCAACAGCAACCCACCACACCCACCACCACTCCGAAAGAAAAAAACGAGGCCACAAAAGAAAAAAAACAACGCCGCCACCAAGCAACAACACCACCAAATATTACAACATATCATGAGAAAACAATAGCACCAAAATACCCACCAGGATCGTCAACAACCAACAATCATCCCACAAAAGACAACAGAGAAGAGAGGACAACAGCAGCACACCACCACCTCCTCCTCCCTCCCGCCTTCTATCAACAAAGCAACAAGCACCCCCACAACAACCAACCACACGATAATAATCACAAAAGATGCTGCTATACTTCCAGGGTTGTCTCAAATGCAACAAAGTCAAAGCACAGCTTGCTCCAAAACAAGTCCCCGGAACCCCTCCAATTCCAAAATTTAAAAAAATAAAATGAAAGAGAAATCAATAGAGCAGAGAAAAGGGATGAGAGAGGGGGTATAGAGGAGGAAATACCAGAAATAGTGGGAAATAATATTGTCCAAATTATGTTGTTATATCTTGCGCACGTACAAAGAGTAACAACAAATCCCACCACTATGTACAACTATAATGCACCAATAAAAAGTGTGAAAAAAAAAAAAAATGCAAAAACTTTGAAAAAAAATACAGAAATGCACACTGAAACCACCAATGACCTGGCAGCTGATTTACACAGGATGGAGGAACCAGTCACAAGCCTGACTTGCACATATGCATGAGCCATGGCACATCATCAATTGGTCAATTCTAGGAACAATTGGATCCTTAGTCTTTAATCTTTTCAGGGTCAGGTATAATGTTTGAAAATCTGATACAAATTAAGGATCACATAAAAGCACAAGGACAAGCACATAGCTTCCATTCAATTTCAGGGAGCTCACAAACCCTGAAAGCCCATCGGTGGACTTCTAGGTTCTAAAGACCTTTCTTTTTTATGTTTTATTTTAACTGACAAGATAGTTTGGTCATGGCAAGTATTTCATAAATGTCTGCTAGATTTAATTGAACCACTACTAGTTTTTCACCTTAAATATTGATCATTTACTTCTCCTGTCTAATGGAAGCATTGTGCCCCTTGATGGACATCTCCCCATTCATCCACCATCTGTCCTCTGCTCCTCAGAGTCCAAGTGTTTCAGTTTCCACATATAAATGAGAACATGTGGTAATTGTCTTTTTGTACCTGGATTATTTCACTTAGCATAATGTTTTCCAGGTGAATCATTAATTATCTACCCTGTTTTAGGCACTCTCATGGCCAATGGGGAATTACCAAATGACAGAAGACATTTCTACACTATGAAATAAACGAACTTAACAAATGGTTAGAGAGTATTTGAGAGTCAACCAGCTTAAAATTCTTTTTCCTTCCAACCTCTATAACAGCCTTTAGATACTATCTTCACAGTGCCTTTTCCCTCAAACTACTGATCTGAATATTATACTGAAAGGACTGATCAGAATTTCATAAATAACAAGGCAGCAAGCAAATTCACAAATACCTATAACCACTTCACCCCAATACACCTATTTATGTGTAGTTTCTGACTCTGAATTGGAGCTAGGATTCATTAGCTCTTCAGTAAAGATTTAATAGCAAAGACGAGGGAGGCCCTCAGACAATGGGCTGGGTGTGGGGTGTTCGGTTCTATTCCAAACCAGCACCACATGTGGTGTCACACACAGCGCAGTGAGGTGGAAAGCACAGTCATGAATCTCTTGGGGCAACTGCCTGCTCGGTTCCAGTAAAATACTGCCAAAGGAATCCATAAAAAAGTCAGGGCCCCTCTGCATGAAACACTGCACCTTCCCCAGGGGACCAAGGATTTGTCACAGGCTCAGTTCAGCTCACATCTTGCCTCTTGGGAGCCCGATCCCGGGGCTTCGAGGCCAGTGGACCATGACCTGTAATACCCTACCTAATTGTACAATGCAATCTTCAGAGGAAAGAAATCCCAGCTGAGTCCTTCAAGCAATCCATCTGAAAGTCCTAAAAATACAGCCCCAAATTACCCTGGATGTCTTATTTCTATAGAATGCATTTTCCCAGGAACATTCCATTTGGGGCTGTAATTCTGAACTTGTTCCACATTTGTAACAGCCCTGCTGGAAAAAAATCTCCTTTCTAATCACTAGGCTGTGCTTTCGGTGACACTGTCACTTTCCAAGTCCTCACAATCTAAAATCACTTTTTATCTCCTCTCTGCCAACCAGCTCCTGAACCTAAAGAAGGTTTTTAACAGTCTGGGTCTCCTGTAGCTCAAAGATTTTCCTTCCTATTTTGTGGCCTTTGGCAGATTTTTAAAAAATGATTTTGGTCTCTCCTCCCCACCCCTTTGACATTTTACCTTCCTCAGTCAAGCTACCTGTTTTTAAGCGTCCATGTTGAAAATGCAGTAAGCAACAAGGTTAATGAAGGAGGAAGGATAAAGGACTCCTGGGTACTACACATCTCCATCACAGTAATTCATCTCTCCTCAATCTTAATGAAGATTGTGATTTTGTTGACTTTGAAGCCAACTTGAGCCCAAGAGCTTCAGGAGACGGATTTTACAACAAATCTTTCTTTGTCATCATCCAAGGGGACACATAGCTTCCACTGGAGTCCAAATGTGAAACTCAAACAACACTCTCAAGTATACTCCAAGCATAACTCCCAAACACGGTATGGATGCTGAGCACCTGCCCTGTGGCAGATATGATTCTTGGAGCTGATCTTTGAATGGCCAGAAAGACAGGCACAGTCCCATGTTCATGAAGCTCACAGTTAACAGGAGAATGTGGATGAGAAAGTCAATGAATATATGTGCTGATTTCAGATAGAGTAGAGGTCATGGGAAAAAAAAGAATTAGGATGAATATAACTTTACTGGATTCTCAAGAAAGCTGTTTGAGAAGTAAGAACCTGAATGCCAAGAAAAAGCATAATTAATGGAAGGACATTTTTAAAAAAATAATAAGAAATTCAAATACTCCAAGACATAAATGAATACATTATATTTATTCATGGTGTGAAAAGAACTCACACCTCTGAACCAGGGCTTCTGTGTAAGGAAGGTGGAGCTAGAGGTTAGAGATCAGGGAGAAGTAGACAGAGGCCAGATCATATGGGACCTGTCAGTCATGATAAGAAATTTGAACTAGAAAACCATTTGAATGCTGAAGTTAATGAGAGATATGATGTGGATTTTCAAAACTTTAAGTTGATAACATTTTATAAAATTTGAGAAAAGAGAAATCTATTTTAATATAAGGAAGACGAGTCGGTTTTCTAGTGGTGGGAGTGTGATTCTAATTGCAAAAGAGCCCAGATGGATTTTTAGGGTGATGGAAATATCCCACCTTGATTGTGATAGTAGGTATATACATTTGTCAAACTTCATCAAAATATTCCCTTAAAGTAGTTGCTTTTTATCTCTCTGTTTTGCTTCAATAAAGTTGATTTTAAAACAAAAAGTTTGCTTTGTCTATTGTGTAGAGAATGGATTGCCAGATAGAAATGGGGATAGAAAGTTACTGTGGGTCACTGTGGGTCTGGTGACACATGCTTGTGACTTGGATTAGGATGGTCCCAGCAGGGGTAGGGAAGGAACTAATAGTGTAAGTTTATTTTGGAGGCACAGCAATATGACTTCATGATTCTGGGTTGGGGTGAAGCAGGGAACACTTTGCTGTTGGTTTTGAATCACTTTTGTTATTTTATTATTACTAGTATTAATTAATTTCTTTTTTTTAGTGCTGAAAATAAAACCCAGAGGTGCTTTGTACATACCAGGAAAGTGTTCTACCACTGAGCTAAAAACCTAAGAGCCATTCTATTTTTTAATATGTTTTTAGTTGTAGATGAACACACAGTATCTTTATTTATTTTTATATACTGCTGAGGATCAAACCCAGTACCTCACACATGCAAGGCAAGCACTTTACCACTAAGCTACAGCCCCAGCCTTCTAAGAGCCATTTTTAATGACCCATTTATGAGGCTGAAGAGCCTATAAACCATGTCACGTGGTTTATTCTCTCTCATAGGCTCATCTCATTCTCTGCAAAGTACCTGGTGGGAATGGAAGACCGTATTAAGATACTGGAACATTCAATGCATCTTCGACTAAATATCACAATATTCCAACTTAGAATAGCTTAGCTATGAAGATGGACTTGTTTGGGGTTTTTGTTGCTGTTGTTTGTTTGTTTGTTTTCATGCCACGTGACTGTGCCTTGCATAGTATAGGCATTCAATAAATCGCTATTATATTTACTTAGTCTGTCAACGGCTTTGTGCATTCAGTATAACAAATGGCTGTTTTTCTCCCAGTTGCCAGTAATAAGGAGGGAAGCTGAGTGGGAGGCTGAATTTTAGACTGCTTCCCTGATGCACAGTGACAACTGTGGTATCTTCTGCAACTAATAAGGTCAAGCTCTAGCTGCTGGCGTCTTCTCGAGTAGGAGGGTGACCCACCTACTGCTGTGCAGGATGAACCTGCTAAGTGACCATCCAGGCTTTGTAGGATGGAAGAAGAAAGCCGAGGGAGGATAACATCAAAGTCAGGTTTGTGCAGAGTGTGAACAAGGATAGATGGGCAGGAAGATGACAGGCTGAATATACACGCACCATGCACCAAGCCCTTCCTGCTAAAACTAAGTGGTCTTCTTATATAAACCTAGAGGTTTATATACTGCCTTTCCTTTTCCTTCACTTAAACATAACTTCTGAACTATTTTACAGAAACAAATCATATTAATTTCATGAGACTTTAATCTGCAATTCATCTCTTTCTCTCTCCTACATTCACTGAGTATCTCTTGGTGCGTCAAGTATGGAGCAGGCCTCAGAGCTACTAAGAGTGATAAGATGTGACCCTAAGATCTTTCATTTATTACCTTAACCTCACTCAAATAGAGAAGTAGACTGAACACTCCTTGAAGGCAAGAACCAGCTTTGATCCTTCTCTTGGATACCATGATATCATTAAATATATAAAAAATTTACACTGTGCCCAAAGGTAAGATAATTAAAAGAAAAGCATAGTTCAAGCAGGGGTCAGAAATTGTTTTTCAGTGGGCTATAAAGTAAATATCTTAGGCTTTGTTGGCCATATTCTGTCAGGACGACTTGATTCTGCCTTTGTAGAGTGAAAGCAGCCATAGACAATACAGACACGAAAAAACATGATTGTGTTTTTCAACAGTAAAATATTGTTTAGAAAAACACAATGGGTCATATTTTTCCACAGGCCATCACTTCTCTCAGCCCAAGCTTTATAGACTAAGACAAATGAGTGGAACATAATATAAAGAAAATAAACGGGTTTAAATTGGTAATTCTTAACCCTTTTTTTGAGGCATAAACTTCTCTCAAAATGCAAGCAAACATTAACACGGGAATCTGCCACACAATTCTGCATTCATTTCATCAGTTTTGCAGCTAAATGTATTCCTCATTAGAACTGTAATGGGACTTTTTACAAGAAAGTAAGAATATTTATGAGACACCCTCATGAAAGATGAATATGATCATATTCTGCCTGAAACCACCAGTTGGGGTCCTGGTCAGGACTCTGGTTATAGGGCAGTAAATGTCCATTAGAAGAAGGGTGCACTTTAGCATGCATGAGACCCTAGGTTCAATTCAAAAAGAAAGAAACAAACAAAAATCCCCCAAACAAACAAAACAAACTGGGGGAAATAAAGATCCTGGACATGAGCACAAGACTGATCATATGCTCTTATCTCCTTGGCCCATCACAAAGGCAGCCCTGCGATTCTTTTCTGCAAACTCTGCGTTCACGCCCTTTCCTGCCCATTTTGTTCATCAACTGAACAAAAATCCCAGAACTAGCTTCATCCTCTTATTAAAGGCACTTCCAGGCCTTCTCTGTGGGGGTGCTCTACTCCACCAAGAAGACTCACCAGCAAGCAATGCACAGGGTCCCCTCTGAGATCTGTGTCTGGTGCCTGCAGCAAACACCAGTCTCTGCCTTTGTTGTATGTGATGAAGGTCTTCACTTGGTTGTCAATCTTCTTGTTAGCCAAGAACATTCCCTTTATCCCTGCTACCTGGGAAAAATGGACATGGCTGAAAAATACATCAATTTGAGAAGAAGAGACATCTTTGTTTACGTTTTTTTTTTTTTTTTTTTTAAGCAAGCTGTCAAATTTCAGCCAAGAGCATTTGTCTTGGAAGAAACACAGGGTGAGAATGGAGGTGGGCAGATGATGCTTAGGTATGACTCCCCAGATGGTTGGACAGAAAGCAGCAGATCAGCCCCTTGTTGTATGGGAATCATAATACAAGTTTGACAGAAGCTTATTATTACTCTAAGGTAGGTAGGCAACAGCCTTTAGTTGCCAGGAGATAAACTCTGGTTACACTCAGTTCTGTTACTTTCCAAGTGCTCAATTAAGAAACGCTACTTTTATTGTATGCTAGACTAGCACCCAGAGTCTTAAATATCGTATCTCATTTAATCCTGTTAACAGTCCTCCTCGGGAAAAAAAAATCACTCTATTCTCTATTCCACATATGAGATCTCAGGCTTATCCAGATAACGGGGACTTTCCAAGTTACACTAAGGACACACAGTAAGTACCTAGAATTTTTACCCAGAACTCAATGGCTTCAGAGCTTGTGCTCTTAATGACTAAATTACTGAGCCATCTGCAGCCTTGGGCAACTGAGAAGAGTCAAAGATTCTAATATAATAACTGTTGTGATTTTTTTTTGTATAAGATCTCTTTTAATTCACCAAATGCAGTGTACATTTGAGAAAAACCTTAAAACTTAAGAAAACATTGTTTTTCTAAATCACTAATTGATCCCTGTCCATTATAATGTTTTTGTTCTCACCATTAGCAGTTCTTATCAATTGTTTAACTCTGAGAAGATAACTATTTTCTTTCTTCTATATGTTAAGAAAGAGGTAATAATTGACCAATTGCCAAAATTGTGCAATAACAAGTTATCCACTGTGCACTGAATTTTCAGGTGGTCTGGACTAATCAAACATAGATTTTACCCTGCAGAAAATAATCCCAATCCAGAAATAATGGAGAGCAGTGAAGAAAAGAACTGAAATGTGTTGAGTTGTGCTTTTCATCTCTGCATGTGCAGCATCTCGCTTAATGCTCTCAATAACCGAGAGAGAGAGAGTTCTCATGAGCCACATTTGGAGGAAGAGGGAGGGGAGACTTAGATTAAAAGTTACCCGAGACAGGTGCACGGGGCATAAATGGATAAGTAAGCATCTCTGAACCTACTGAACTTGGAACCATTGTATTACCAAGTGAATATTTTGAATCAATACTGTCAAGCACTATCCCCAGTCCTTCATAGACAAACTTCAACACTTGCTATCAACCTGTCTTAGCAACTTTTATCCCAGCGCTGTGGATGAGAAAACTAAGGTGTGGACAAAATGAATGGTTTACGATGACAGAGCGTTGGGTTTCCTACTCAAATCTGTATGACTCTCAAAATTCTTTCAGTAACTACAGCTCCAAATGTGGCAAATCAAAGAGGTTGGGCTTCGATCAATAGAAGACACACTCTTTGCCTTTGCTTTGGACACAGTCAGACTTCATTAGTTTGTACCTGCTGATTTGGCATCTGGGATAATTTAGAGTTGGGCTAAATTTGTACTCTTTTGGAACTACAAGTTTGTTAAACAAATAAATGGTTTAAACAAGTTGCTGAGAGGAATACTTTGAACTACTTAAGAAAACGAGCTACATTCTGGGCAATCAACAGCAGCTAGGACAATTTCTTATGCACTGTCAATCCTCAAAAAAAGAGTTAGGCAGGAGCTATTGGGGCACTCAAACTCCCAATGACACTATGTTAGTTCCAAATTACATCTAGCTATTTGCTATACCAGCTCCATAAGGGCTGCTCACCAGGAAACTCCACATTACTTTTGCATATGTTCAAGCAGCTGTTAGAAACTTAAATATGACCAAACTGCCTGTTCTTTAAAAATGAAATTTCATATATCAGAATTTTCAACAAAGTCATGCTGGTCTTCTCTCTATACCATAACCAGAAATGAGAAACGACTCTGTCTTAGTTAATCACTCAGTACTCTAGAGGGTTACGATAAGAAATAAAAATGTTACCTAGTCCCATATTTTCACTGCCCAGTTTCCTTCCTGCTCTCTCCTCCTTTTGCCAAGGGCAGCAGAGCAGGGTTATGCATGTGTAGATCTGGTTCATCTGATTTGCAGAAGTGGTGATTTTATTGGGCCCCAACTGCTTGGCATTATCAAATGCTACTTGAGCAGAGAGTTGGGCTTTGTAATTCATCTCTGGCAGCTTGGCCTTCAGGTTTATCTTGAGAAATAAAAACTTGGCAAAGTAGAGGGAATGTGTATCAACAGAGGCTAGATTTGGAGAGAGTCTGTTTATTTCCCCTCTTACAGCCAAGACACTTTTCCATTTGAGATGTCTTTTATTGTCTTGCTCTCTAGCCTGGTATGCAAAGATGGTCAGCCCTGCTCCTAGGTTCTGTGCCACTCACTCTGCTCTGCCTCTGGGCTTGATCAATCCATCTGTGTTTCCCACTGCAACCTTATTTATGCAGGAGGTACTTTCTTCTAATGCTTTTTAAATAAAACCTCATAATGCCTTTTGTGTTCCTTCTCATTGCAGGCCTATGGATCTCAAAAGGGTCCCAAATGTGAAATTGTGTGGGTATGCATGGGTGTTTGTGGGTGTATGTAAGGTGGGGGGTCCCACTGAGGATGAAAGAACATATTTATATTGCCAGATGACCTCCCTCTGTGCCCACATTACATACATGTTTAAGAACTGAGTAAGGGGATGGGGCTGTAGCTCAGTGGCAGAGCGCTTGCCTAGCATGCATGAGGCACTGGGTTCGATCCTCAGCAAGCACCACATAAAAATAAGCAATGAAATAAAGGCATTCTGTCCATCTACAACTAAAAGAATTGAGTAAAACTGAAGGACGGCAAGGGTGGGGAAACGTAGTATTCCCAGCAGAAGTTCTGCCTTCACATGGACACGGCATTTCCAACAAAGACACTCCTTTGAAAAAGGTGCAGCACATTGGTGGAAGCTCATCTTCCCTTGGGGAAAGAACTGTTAACTTTTATGCTACTGAATTCTGCAGAAAGACTTCCAAGAGGGCTTGGTGTCTTGAGAAGCTACTGTTCTCTCTTGACTTCTCATATGGATGAATTGGATAAGAGAAATCTCAAAGGTGATGAAAAATTATTTCTTGTTTTTTAATATTATAGAAGCCAGGTTATCATTTTTACTAGGTTCTTAATATGAATATGCAATAGCTCAAACCTCAACCTAGTAGAGAGCATTTCAAACATTTACTGTACCTGAGCATGAGCATCTTACAGTGCTGTTTCTTCTTTTCTCTTGCTCTCTTCATGCTTATAGGCCAACCCCAAATTTCTCAGACAACTTCTCAATGTGTCTCTACCTCTACCTCAAGATCCAGCTCTATAATCCTTTCCCAGAAATAAGAACCTCTTTTCATCTTGATTGTCTCTAACATTTCTCTGTTCTTCCACTTGTTTTGCATAGATATGGCTATATCTTGGTCTCAACAACTGTAGAATCTTCTTATGGATGACAATCTTCCCGTAGACTTCTCTTGTACTCTTTATACTTCTTATCACAAGTTAATTCAACTTTATCTTCTTTTATGAACTCTTACATTACAGTCTCCAACCTTAAGATAACCTTTGGATTGCTGTTCACTTCACCATATTGCTTCTTTAAAATTATTAAAGGTAAAGTCACTTTGTACAAGGAGCCCCAATTCTGTTTTCATAAGATAGGTAGTAAGAGTTCTGCATTAGAAGATGTAACAACTACAAAAATAACATAGATTTACTGAGTGCTAATAAATAATGAGACATTTCATGAAAGGTTCCTGCAAACATGAGCTCCTGGGTCTCTTGACGCACTCTGAGTGGAAGAGTCACTTATTCTCATTGTGCTGATGATTGAACTAAGGCTCAGATGTGGACAATCACTTGCCTAATGTCATTCAGCTAGAGAAGCTGAGATCTGGACTCCATTTTTAGTCTAACTCTAGAGTTCATAACACTGTGGCTATATTATTTTTTCA